AAACAAACAAACAAACAAACAAAAATGTTTGAAATGGCCAACATTTCCTCTCCATTAATAAATAAACGTTCCTAATCTATGATTTCAGTCTGTCACTAAAAAGCGTAGTTTCTCTTCAGTTCATGTACATACAACTTCTTCACAAAATATCTAGGAATATTTTGTGCAAATGAATTAAAAGCGAACTAGACCTAGAACTAGTCTAGAACTAGACTAGACTAGACTAGAACTAGCACTAGAACTAAACCTAGTTCACTAGGTCTTCTAGTTCTAGAAATCTCCATCCACAGTCCCTTGACTTGGCAGTAAGTAGTCAGACCTAGCAGTTCCTCTAGTAGAGAATTTTCTTTATCAGTGAGATAATAACCTATCAGGAATACACACACCATCACAGACATACATACAGTTATAGCCACTTAAACCACGAGCTATCTTTCTTCTAAGAGATGAATTTGTTCTGCAAGATTCATTTGATTTCTAGTTGTTTCCATTTTTTAATAAAAATGTATATACCTATTAGTAAACAGAAAATGTTTTAGAAGGTGGGCCTTGGGAAAAGTCAGCAATTGTATCAAAGCCTAGAATGTCATCTAAGGAACACTTTTTATTGACTTCACTATGCTAGGAGAATCTTGGAAGAAACCAAAATTTTTTGTTACTATTACTACCATGAAATACCATGAAATTTCTATTTAGATTTAAGGAAGTCTTTTTTTTTTTTTTTTTTTTTAAGTTTTATATTCATGCAGTGTTCAAATGGCTTTTTTTTGTTGTTGTTTGTTTGTTTGTTTTACTTTGTTCTTGATCTTTGTAACTCAGGTATTTTATTTTTGGATAAAAATAACTTGAAACATTCCATATATTTATCTAAGAATCATAAGATTAGGTAACATGAAATTAACCATGTCTCCTAAATCATCACTAGGCAGCTTAGCTACAAAGAAGTTTTGATTTTTTTGTTTTGTTTTGTTTTTTATTTTACCTTTGAGAAACCATCTTTAACATGACCTATAAAAGCCAATCTCTTACTCAGATTTTATCAGCCACCTGAAAGGTAGAAAATAAGGTTTAAGAACATTTTATATTTATATATATATATATATTTTTCTTTCTTTCTTGTCTAATGTAACACAAAGAATGACAAGCTGAAACAGAAAGGACTTCCAGATAGGAAAATGATGTATGTTATCTTTTCTGTGGATAACTTGGCAATCTATTTACATTGGCAGTGTATTTTACCTGTTCTATCCTATCCTATCCTATCCTATCCTATCCTATCCTATCCTATCCTATCCTATCCTATCCTATCCTATCCCATCCCATCCCATCCCATCCCATCCCATCCCATCCCATCCCATCCCAATACTTTCCACAAGCCAAAGGGGGTGCTTTCAGCCATGGAAGAAACTACTTTGGGAGCAGTGAATGAGTAGATGGGTTGACGTGAGTTCATTAATATATATATATATATTTAATTTGCTTTTTCTCATATACCCTTTTGTCTTCTTTGGTAACATATGATGCAATATTTGATACACAGGAAAAGTCATTTTAGTGGTAAGGAAGAGACAGATTTTCTTTGGGCTTAACAGAGTGCTCAGGAAAACTATGGGAGCTGGGAGCCTGTTTGTAAATGAACAACATGTCTGACAAAGTACAATAGGATTCTCTTGTGAGTATTGCTCTAGTCTTGTACAGAAAGTATGTTTTTGGAATAATCACTTCTTTGTTTAATTATTTTTCATTATATTTTTTCCATACAAAACCTTTAAGTAATTTGCTATGAACATGCCACATTTGTGCTCAGGGATAAGTTAATACTGTGGGATTGATTTATCACACACAAAGCGTTGGAGAAACATTTGACACTAGGCAGTGTCCTCATGTAAATTTGGTCCTTTGTGATAATTTATTATGATGGAGTTCCAAAAGATTGCTGTCTGATTTGAGTTTGTAGGCACAAAAAGCAGAAGCCTGTGCTTCAAAGACCACATGTTCAAATAGAACACAGCAACAAGATTTTTGTTTTTTGGAGCAGTTACATCTGCTATAGATAAACAATATTTTTCCCTGCACAGGATATCATCATAACCAGAGATTATAATATTGAAATGTATTAAGGGTAAAATCTGTTTTTGCTTTCTCTTCCTCCAAGCCAAGACTGAAAAGAACTGCAGGATGATTTTGTATTTGGCGTTGCAAACAAATTGTCTATTCCTTGATTATTGGTGGGTAATTTTTAGGACTCATGGTCAAATATTTTGGTACTGAAATTATGTTAGTTCTGTATCTACTATCAAGGAGCACTGAAAAATGTGACTTGGCCTTTGTATAGTCTGCTGATTGTACAAGATGCCAAAGACCCTAATTCCCACTATCTAAGTTGATGCCCAAAGGCCAACGGCATACATCTGAAAATAAAAGTGAGGTGAAAAATAGATCGTAATATGATACATGAAAGACCACTGATTTACAATTAATAATGTAAATAGAAAGGTACAGATAATATGTAATAATAACATACCTACTAGAATAATATTATCAGTGGGCTATTTTTCTGTACATCTTAATGAACTCCAAGCAGTGGAGGATTAATATAACACTAACTCTTTTTGAGATAACCTACATGTGATGGGAAGCCCAGGGAAAACAAACAAACCTGATCCCCCCCCCCCCCCCCCCCCCCAATAAAATAAAATAAAATAAAAGAAGATTTTTCTTCATTTGCAGGCTCTTTGCTTCTCTAGAGGAGCGTAATGAGCTGGACCTCTGGAGTAAATCTGCAGAACAATTTTGTAGGGAGTTTTCAGACAGAATGGGTGTGAAACATTTTGATATGAGACAAATTTCAGTAAGTAAATTGTACTGTAAAGTTGATATTTCCTATGTTACATGAGACAGAGGTGCTATAGCTAAGACAATAACATTTGCATGCTTCAGCTGCTTAGATCAGCTATAAGCAATTTTAACTCCCTAATCAAAACACACACAACATCGTTAACCTTCACAGGGATGTTTTGATAACTGATGAGAGAGACTACAGCACACCACACAAAGGTGGCATGTTCACAGGTAATGAAATGAACTATGAGCTATTAATATTTAAATATGCAAACATACATATATACACAGAGAGATACGTGGAGACCATTGGGAATACTTTATAGCTTTTTATCTTTGAAGTAGCTGTATTTCATAGATTGGTGAAATGACTGAATTAAGAATAAGGTCACTGACTGGAAATATTAAGAAACAGGCTCATAACTTGATATTTTGCTTGGAACCACTGATAAACATGCAGTGAATGTGTTAGATATGGGCTCCAGATTATCACAGAAGATAACAGCCATTTCCAAAATGCATTTATTTCAACTAATAACATTGATTACCTTTTTATTGTTGTAGTTAAATGTGATGGCTGGAGGCTGGATATTTGTTTTTTTGAGATTCCAGGAAAGCAACTAGTGTACCTACATGTTTTTGATGGATAAATTACATTCTGCATTTGGACATTGGGAGTTACCAGATTAGCCCAAGTATTGGCAGGTCTGAGCAGGATCCAAGTGTCAAATTTGGTTCAGGCTACTCTCAGAACAGATGGAAATGTTGCTACCTTTATTTTGTGAGAAGCATTTCACTTGCTCTCCATTTGAGCACTCCTTAAAAGAATTTTTTTTTTTTTTCTCCTTAGAGCTTCACAGGGGTAGGTTTTGAACTGAAACAGTATCAGGTTGCAGCTGCCATTTCCGATGATTATATCTGCACACCAAGCTCTGGTTTGTAAGCAGGTTTGAGGAAGCTTAATGCTGTCTATATTTGCCTTGCTTTTAGGCAGAAAAAAAAAAGGGGGGGGTCAAAAATTTGTTACTGTGGATCATGGTCCAACTGTCTGTTTTAGAATGAGGTGCTCTGCCTCTGGGAAATCATGAGATTCTCTGTTTGTTTGTTTGTTTGTTTTTGTTGTTGTTGTTTTATTGTTAGTTTTTTGTTTTGTTTTTTGGTTTTTGGCCCTAATAGCAGCTAAAATTCATGTTTGTACAATGGAACCTGGGATTCTGGTTCCAAAACTTGGCCAGATCCAGCTTTTATAGCCATCTAGCATTTCCCCTTTGTCCAGGAAGCATTTCCTGTGTTGGTCTAGCCAGATTTTATTAGGGGGAGGGGAGATGAAGACCTTGCATATTCTCCCTAATCCTATCACACACTGAATCACCTCATTGATACTGACTCCACCAATGCTGCTTTCCCCATTTCCTGAGTTACTTAGCAACAACCATCCCTCCCTTTTCCACTCCCCCGATCCATCCTTTTATTTTTTCCCCTGTGCAATCACGATTTCCAAGCTGTTTGGAAAAATGAGGATCCTCAGCAGCATAGGGCAAGCTTTTCCTTCCAACCTCCCTTTTTATGCCTGCCAAATCTTTCTTGCCTCCAAAGCAAAAATCCAGGCTGCCTGCATATGTGTAATCAAAGGTTAAAAAGCACCACGGCTGACACCACGCATGTGTTAATCTGTGCTGCTGCAGCAGAGTGCATCATTTCCACTTTGACCTCGGAGTTAATCTGCATTCAGGCAGAAGCTCCATTGCTTTATTCATTCTTTTTTTTTTTTTTTTTCCTTTTTTTTTTTTTTTCTCTTCTTTCTTTTCTCTCATCTACCCTTTCCACTGCTGTATCGGATTGTTGCATGTATGTGAGTGGTTCTGTAAATGTGTGCATGTGTATGTGTTTCTCCTTCCCTTGACTGTTTTTATTCTGCGAGTGTTTGTGTATGTGCAGTTTTTCTTTTCTTTTCTCCCAATTATATTATTGCCCTAGATCTGGAAGCTGCTGCTTGCTGCCTGAGCTGACGTTTTTTGATTATATCTGCAAAGGGCTTGTGCAGATCTAATTTCTGCTCCCCCCCCCCCCCCCCCCCCCCCCCCGCATATTAATTCCCGCAGCTGGGTGCAATGTATCATCCCACTGACGGGACCTGGTAGGGAGGGGGGGAAGAACCACTACCAAAAAAAAAAAAAAAAAAAAGAAGGGGACGGATCCATCTGCAACCGAGAGAAAAGGGGAAAAAACAGGGCTGGGGGGGGGGAGAGAAAGAGATGATTCCTCCAAATCCAACAAGCCTGGGGAGCACTGCACTCTTGAATCCTGCATTTTCTCTCAAAATGATGGTGTGGGCACTTGTGTTCCTCTCTCTCATCCAGTGGTAAGATGTGCTTTCTGATTCTGTTTGTTGGGGGGGTGGGGGGGAGGAGGGCTGGGGGTGAAGACGCTGTTTGCAAATTCGCAGAGCTGTCGTGAGAATGCTGGAGGTTTAGATAGCGACATTACATTCATCTATCTCCTAGCAGATGAGATCTTATAATGTTTCATTTCTCTTACAATTGTGGTTGCTCTGAAATGGATAGGGAGTGTGAGCAGCGGGTGTGTGTGATGGTGGTACATGCCGGGTGTTTCATGGAATTTGGTGCCATATTAATGAAGCCTTCTCCCTCTGAATTATTGTTTGCTAGAGTGCATGGAGTTATAATGCAGCTGTGTTTTGTGGGTAGAACATCCATGCATTCACGCTTGTTTCCACCTAAGCAGCTGCATCATGGCCGTGCCTGGGCTTTGGGCTCTGAAGCGCTGTATATTTGTTCTGTAAGGAGCCAGTGCAAGGATCTAGGACCAAGGACAGGGATGCAGATCTCTGCAAAACCTCCGAAGGCAGGTAGTGAGCTGCTGCCTGCATTTGCTGGTTACTGAGATGTGTTTAATGCTGATGAAACAAGCAGTGGGATGTAATAGAGTGTGCAAATCACATAGCCGGTCAGATTAGACAAATATTTACAGTAACATTTACCCCCACGTGCTTACACATGTACTGTTTGAAGACAACATGTGCAAGCATGCTGCATGTGTGTATTGTACACATAAATGTAAAGAGGTAAAAATCTTAATAGCAGAGGAAGAAGGAGTTTGTATATGGATGTGCAGAAAGTGGAGGGGGAGAGTAAGTACTACTGCAGTGCCAAGCAATATGCTGAACCAGGCATTCTTACAAAGGTTTCTGGACTGTACATTTAACAGTTTAGATGAGCAAGTAGCATTGCATTGTAAAGTACTTGGTCTTTCAAGTCCTAATAGACTTTTCCTCACAGCTGCACAAGCCTTGTTGACATTTATACACTACAGAAGTTAGTACCAACTCCTTTTTCTCTCTTTTTCTCTTATTAATGCTGTAGTCATACAGGCTTCTCATTCAGATTTACCTTCTTTCTGCTCCCTTCCTTTTCCTTAGACACTGCCATACAAAAAAGTGGCTTAATTTTTTTTTTTTTTTTAAAGTGAACTTTGTAGCTGCAGATGTAGGACTTTAGTTCCAAGCAAAACAAAAGACAAAAATTACTGACCAAGGAAATTAAAAGTTGCTGGATTTTACAGTAGCTTTCATCACAAACAAATAACTTTGTGAAGAATTCCCCTAAAATTAAATGTAAAATGGCTGAAAATGAAGTAGAAAGTGAAATAAAACTTAGTGAGCCTACCAGAAAAGAGACCTTGTCGGAAGCCAGACAAGCATAAGGCATGTCTGATTTTGTAAGAATTCTTTGTGATTACTAAGTGAATAGAAAGCAATGGAAAATGAGCTTTTATTGGATTTCAAGAAAGCAGTTCACCTAAGGACTTCAGCTGAGGTGACTGTACCTGTGTTTGTATTGCTCTGTGTAATTCTTCCTTCTTTCCCACTGGAAAGTGCTCACTTTACACAGACACAGTCTCAGATTATTTTACTGTAAAACTTCCACTAAAATGATCCCTGATAGTTAGTCTAATTTGCTTCTTTTCACTCACTTTTCAGCTACAGAATTTTGCCAAAATGATTTCATTAGCTTTAAAAGAAACTCTTCATAGTAGAAATTAAACTTTTAGCTCAGCAAAGTGTTCTGTTTTCTGTTCATAACCATCTGATAGCCAAGATGGTTTGCTCTGAAACTTTCCTGACATCATATTTTAAGGAAAAACAGACAGAGAAGTAATATTAAGGAGTTACAATTAAAGAGGAAAATTCTTTTTAGTGCTTTACAAAAATATTTTCAATGAGTCAACATGAAAACATGATTTTATTTCTAATAATCAAGACACCTTTCTCTTCCTGTTGTGGAAGAAAAATTAGTGTTAGCTTTGGGAAGTCATGGACCAAGAGAGAGTTAGGAAAGTTGAACTTAGTGTCCATTTATAGCCACAATGAAAACTTTTCTTTCTTAGAAACTCATCAAACAGATCAGATAGAGGGCAATATAATTGTATTATGTGTCACTTGTTTTGGACATTGAAATTCTTATAGGGCAATGTAACTGATCACTAACATGTGCTCCATGTTATGCGTGTAAATAAATGTGTTGAAAACAGTCAGTACACACAGATGTTTAACTATTTGCAGAATCTTATCAAAGTAGTTGAACATAAATTGGTTGTTAATTTTGTGCAGAGGTTTTTCCTATTTCAATATAAAAAAAGAAGTTATTCTCTGGAGAAATTAGTTGTTTCACAATTGTTGATAGTTTGGAAGATCAGAGAAAGAAGAAGAAAATTAAGGTACAATTCAGGTATCACTGAAAGCAACAAACCATGATTTGAATCAATTCAGAATAAATGTCACATTATAGCACAGCAGTACATTACCTTTACAGTGATTTTATATCATTAGTTTCATAACATTCACACAGTACATCTTTACAACTCTGCACACTAAAGTTTTAGGAAGCGTTTCTTTCAAAATTTCATAAGTTCCTAACCGTGCTGCAAATACTGCATAAAGTTAAGTTCCTCCATTATCCTATCACTCAAACCAGTGTAACAGCACTGTGCAACCCACCCTTTTGACTGAAACACTCATAGAAAATGAGTCAAACCAAATTCCAAATGTCTGTGCACCATAATACTGGGTTTGAGACAATATTTTTAAAATGTACATAGAATACTTTAATATTTGCACATATCAGTATGGGGTTTAATTGGAAATAATATTTGATTAAACTTATTGTATACTACATAAGTAATTAATGCGTATTGCATTTATTAAAGCTCACTTACCAGCAAAGTTTCAGATAGATTGAAAGCTATACCCTATGTACTGTTTACATATGGGTTTTATTTGTTATTTTTGTCCAGTCCTTAGCTCTAACACATTGACAACAAAAATCACATGAACACAGTGCAGAGTAATGCTGGGACAGTGGCTACTTTTTTTTTTTTTTTTTCCTTGGAAGTGCCCAAGTAGTGGAATGACAACGTTTCTACAATGTTTCTATGCTACAACTAAATAACTTAAATTGAAAACTGTCAAGAATGATCAGGAAAAAAAAAAAAAAAAAAAAAAAAAAGCACAAGACAATCATTTTAACTCTAAAATACCTTGGTGCATATATGAATGAGCATATTTTTCTTAGCAAATTACACAGCATGGAAATGAATAAAATTGTTTTGTTCCTGTAAAGCACTATCAGTGTCAGCTGGTTTCTTGCACCGTGTGGTACATGATATAATAACAATGATTAAGAGGGGCATGAATATCCCTGAGCTGAACAGTCATTTAGAATTACTGTAACAGTTGTTAACATCAGTTTGGAATCAACCTTGCAGATGTAGTTATTCATATACTAGCTTCCAATTCTTTCATGCAGTGCATAGCACTTCTGTAAAGTCAGAGGTCCTGTGGAAGTCACCTGGAGCATTACTGGAGTATGATGTTGCTCAGCAAGAGACAATTTCTCAACAAGGAATAGTCGCTTGTAAAGAAGCACCACAACAGAAGTTGTGAATACAAATGCTGTTAAATGATGACTTTATCCTTGTCTATGGTACAATGAAATTGCAGATTTAGTGCTGACTGGCCTATATACCACCGTGTATTTCAGCAGAGCTGAGACTGCATGGACACAGGACCTTCACTCTACTTGAAAAATTCAGGGGTAGCAAGGAGAGTGAGATTGTCTTTGAGTTTTTCATAGCCATACTGCATTCCTGACTTTTATCAGTTATCAGCTGTAATGGTAATACATTCAAACTGATTCAGAGAAGGAATTTGGAACAGCTATGATTCTAATAAAAAGACTGCAAAAAGCAATGTTATAAAGCAGACTAGAACAAGTAAATAACATTCTCACTATCTAGTAATTTTAATGGAGCATAAAATATTGTAGATATTTTTTCCCTACTTTCAAGTATATAATGGTTTGGAAATGTGTATTAAACCCTTTAACTAACTTCTGCTTTTTTTGGCTATTCCACGTAACCATAACTTGCGTACTAATATTCATGTATTCCAAATTACTCTGATGAATATGCAAAGTGATATTAGAAAGCCTTTCAAAAAGTTTGAATCCTTGAAAATCTGAGAAATCAAACTTGTTAATAGTAAATAAATAAATAAACAAACTAACAGCAGCTTTAGAAATGAATCTAATCTTTAATTGTAATAATCACCATGCAATTCATGTTATGTGTCTTCTCAGTGGCCATCTAAACCATGTCTTTGGTCATGAATTTAAACTGTTCTAGTTCAATACTATCTGGAAAAAAAATATCTTGTTGATTTGAATTGTGATCATGTTGTTTTCCTGTTATATATTTGTTCAGTTTTTACAAGTCAAGAAACTCCATAACATTGTCCAAAAATTTAAAAGGAAAGAAGATTGACAGGAGTGAATGTATGAAGGCAAAGGAAGTATATATCTGGTCACAGGAAACTCATTGCAGGTCTCCATCCCACTATGCTTAAACACTTTTGTACCTCAGTAATGACCACCACTTGCTCCAAAAAAGCACTGAATCATGACTTGAAAACATGAGTTATTAGAAGATTAGATAAAACATATAAAAAGTAATCTCCAAAGAAGAGGCATCCTAAGGACCCAGGTCCAGACTCCCAAATGGCACTTTCCTGCTACTTGGAGATGCACTAACCCATTTTAAGTTAGCTCAGCACCCTATACCTTTCCCCGGTTTTGTTCAGCCACTCTAACTATAAAATGTTTATACATTCACAGATATAGACTTTGTATTAAAGTAATAGTTCATTAGTTCTTTGAAAACATGCAACAGAATACCTAGAGTGTACTGTGGTTGTCGGCATCATCAATGCAGTCTGAACTGCTGCTTTACAAACTACTGCACCTGCAGCCCCACTCAGTCTTGTACAGAACAGGTAGGTTATGTCAG